TCGTTCTCTTTGCCTCTCCTTCTCTCTGTAAATCTACCTTTCAAATAAAAATAAATAAATCCTTTCAAAATAACAGGAAGTAACTATAATTTGTTTACTAACCTTAAGTGAATATATAGGATGCTGCTTTTAGGGAATTTAGGTTAAAACTATGTTCTAACATGACTACCTTGTATGCTTTTTGTGTCTCACTTCACAATCTTTCATTTTCTTTAAGACTTCTGACATTTTACAAACACAAACTTACAAGCAACTTCTTGACTTGATCCTTGCAACAGAAGCAATGCATCAGCTTTAGCTTCTTTGCATCTCTACAAAATGACCATAAATAAATTGCATCCTCCCAGAATGCCTCTCTTCTGATTTGTGAAGATGCTTGGAATAGAGGCTCCTTTTTTGGAAAAGGATTTATTTGAAAGGCAGAGTTACAGAAAGAGAGAACAAGAGATCTTCCATCTGATAGGTCATTCCTCAAATAGCTGCAAAGGCTGGGCGGGGTCAGGCCCAAGCCAAGAGCCTGGAGTTCCATCCAGATTTCCCATGTGGGTGGCAGGGGCTCAAGACCTTAGGCTGTCTTCTGTTGCTTTTCCCAGGAGCATTAGCAGAAAACTGCAGAGGAAAAGGGGCAGCTGGGACTGAAACTGGAGCCCGTATGGAATACCAACATTCCAGGTAGCAGTTTAACTGGCTATGTCATGGTGCAAACACCATAAGCTACATTTTTTAAATCCATTACAGAAGCCTCAAAAAGTTCATTTTCCATGAACTTTTGAATGCCCTTGTATAAACAAGCTCAGGGCTTAGCACCCAGCAATGGCTCACATTCTTTCTTCAGTAACTGACTAAACTGAATGAAAAAAAAAACAAATGATTACCTTTTACTCTTCATCCTGCTCTCCCATTCCACAGGCAAAATAAAGAAAATAATTAAAATGCATTATTTTATCATGAACTCCTAAAGCAGTGAGTTTAGGTAAAAATGGAATCAGTAAGAGACATACGTTTGTTTTCTTGTTAGATTGATTTTGGCCAGTGAGTTTTATTCAAAGGAAAAAAATATTTGAAAGTTTCCTAGACATTAGAGGCAGCATCTAACCTAAATAAATTATTGCCTTTAAAAACACACACAAATATCAGAAAACCAAACCGGTCAAGTTCCTTAAATATAATGAAACAATTATTGAAATCTTAAAAAAACAAACAAACAAACAAAAAACAGTGCACTTATCCACCCTAAAGACAAGTGCAGTTTCAAAACAAAACAATAAAAATAAAAATAAAAATGCAGTTTCAAAGAGCAGCCATGGAGGTGTTTTTAAAAAATGACTTCAATCAGATCATATGGTTTCTCTCTCTCTCTTTTTAAAGATTTGTTTATTTTTATTGCAAAGTCAGATATACAGAGAGGAGGAGAGACAGAGAGGAAGATCTTCCGTCCGATGATTCACTCCCCAAGTGACTACAACGCTGGAGCTGAGCTGATCTTAAGCCAGGAACCAGGAGCTTGTTCCAGATCTCCCTCGTGGGTGCGGGGTCCCAAGGCTTTGGGCCGTCCTCGACTGCTTTCCCAGGCCACAGGCAGGGAGCTGGATGGGAAGTGGGGCTGCCGGGATTAGAACCAGTGACTGTATGGGATCCTGGTGCATTCAAGGCAAGGACTTTAGCAGCTAGAATACCACACCAGGCCCACGGCTTCTTTTTTTTAAAAATTCCTTTAATAACTTCCAATTGCTGTTTGAATACAAACCAAAGTATTTAATATGACCTACAAGCTATTTTGTTTGATTTGCTTAAATAGGTATTTTAGACCCTGAAAATACAGTAAAGAAAGGGTGGGTGGGGCAAGGCCTCAGTTCCCAAGTAGCTTACACTTTAAGAGGTGTGGCAAGCCAGTGGGAAAATTAAAATGTCTAAATAAAATCAGTAAACAAACAGAGAAGAGAAATTTTAATGAAGTGAGTACAGTGAAGAAAATGAAATATTTGATAGGGAAAATAAGCTGTTCTTGCAGTCCTCCAGGTGCCACTTTCTTAGCACAGGATATGTATACTGGCTAGTCCTCTCACGGGCTTTCTGCCACACCTTCCTGCCTTCCTGAACCACCATTTTCCCCTCAGATCTCAAGCAAAAATTGTAAGCTTCTTTTGTTAAATGTTCCTGTGTTCTCAGAATTGTGCCCAGCTATCTCCATTGCAATGTTCATTACTTCTGCACAGCAAATTTTTGCTCAGTATCTGTTTTGCCCCAGGACAGGGACTTCTTGTGTGCAGTTACTGATAGAACTGCTGATATACTCCCCATGACCAGTATATCATAGATCAACACATTTTGTAGAAACAAACAGGAGGAAGATCAAAAAAATCTTTGGCTTTTTTCTACTAAGGGTTCATTGATCAAAAGGGACTGAAAAAAACAATACAAAAAGAGATAAACTACAAAATGAAAGTGTTTAATAATCCTATTACATTTTATTTGCATGCCCTGTCATCTGGACTGTTTTCTAGGCATAAATGTACATGTATCTTTTAATAGAAAAATGGAGTAAAACATGTGCTTTCATAGATTACCTTTTTAAAGATTTATTTTAAAAGCAGCATGATATAGAGAGGGAGAAACAGAAAAAGAGACATGTATGTTCTATCTGCTGCTTCACTTCAAGTGGTCAAAACGGCCAGTGCTGAGCAAGGTCAAGGCCAGCAGCTTGGAACTCCATCTAGGTCTCCCACATGGGTGAAGGGCCCAAGAATTTGGGCCATCTTCTGCTGCTTTCTCAAGAACGTTGCTAGGAAGCTGGATCAGAGTAGATTAACTGAAATGAGCTGGTGTTCCTATGGGATAGTGGTGTACCAGACAGGGGCTTAACCCATTATGACATAAAACTGGCTCCTAAGCTCCCCCCCCCTTTTTTTTTTGTTGTTGTTGTTAAAGCATATTTTTGTCAGAAAGACAGAGTGTTCCCATCCGCTGGTTCACTATCAAAGGCTGTGGTTTGGGTGAGGCCAAAGCTGGGAGCCAGGAACTTTGTCTAGGTCTCCCATGTGGATGACAGGAATCCAAGTACTTGAGCTATCACTGTTGATAGCCAGGGTCTGCATTAGCAGGAAGTTGAAATCAAGAAAACCAGGTATGTGGAATGCAAAACTCTTAACCACTACACTAACTCTTGCTTTTTCATTAACAAGATAACCCAGGGCCAGTGTTTGGCATAGTGATTAGCATTGCAGTTGAGCACGGGTTCAATTTCAAGCTGCTCCACTTCCGAGGTAGTTCCCAGTCAATGTGCATGAGAAAAGCAGCATAAGATGGCCAAGTCTTTGAACCCCTGTCACCTATGCAGAAGAACCCAATAGAGCTTCAGGCTCCTGGCTTGTGCTTGCTAGGCCTGTGCAGCCATTTGTGGAATGACCCATCTTCCTCTCCCTCTGTGTATCCCTCTCTGTAACTCTGCCTTTCAAAAAATTTTAAATGGTGCTGGTACTGTGGCACAGCAAATTAAGCTGCCATCTGCAATACCAGCATCCATAAAAACTCGCTTCCTAGTCCTAGCTACTCCACTGCCAATCCAACTCTGTGCTAATATGCCTGGGAAGGCCTTGGAAATGGTTCAAGTACTTGGGCACCTGCTCTACATATTGCAGCCATTTGGGTGGTGAATCAGCAAATGGAAGAGCTCTGTTTTGTTATACCTTACAAGTCAAATAAAGCTTAAAAAAAAATAAGACTAGTTATATAGCTTGCCAATATCAGGAAAAGAGATTAGAAAAAGAAATGACCTAAAAAGTTGGGTAAGGTTGTTTTCCTTTTACTGAGACAGTGGGCTGTGCACTATGCTGCTTATTCCCCCAGGCAGTAACCACCTGAGAAAGGTTCATCTTAACCTACTTTGTCCAGATTCTGATGTTATCAGATTTTCCCAGCCTTTTACAATCACCGCCCCTTTGCAAGAATTTCAGAGTTAAGGACCTCAAAGAGCCCACTTATCAGTCTTTTAAACATTGCATTTGCCCTTTGTCCCACAGGACAGTCTCCCAGGCTGATCACAATTTTCCTCCCTAGCATTTATATCGTTGACTTTAAATTATTTATTTGAAAGGCAGGGTTAGAGAAAGAGGGATACGCAGAGGGAAAGAAAACAGAGGGGTTTCACATCCCAGAGAGAGCTCTCACTTGCTGGTTTGCTCTTAGTTGCAGCACACTGGATCACCAGAAAGCCAGGAGCAAAGAATTTCCTCTGGATCTCCCGCGTGGGTGCAGGGGAACCTGGTTCTTGCACCATTCCCCCCCGCGTTTTCAGGAGCAATTTGCAGGGCGCTGACTCGGAAGTGGAGCTGCGGGAATTTGAACCCGTGCCCATGTGGACTGCCTACACAGCCGCCACAATTAAGCGCTTGCTTTTATATATATCTATATGTATATATATAATGCCCCCGCCCCCGCCCAGTAGATTGCTGAGTCGTGGGAACTGGGCTTTGAGTCTATTTTACTTTTTAATTAATTTATTTATTTTTACTTTTAAACTTTGGTCTAACTTTCCCATCACGTATAATTGTGCTTGATCTTCATTTAGACTACGGTAAACGCTGAGTAAAACGCCAGGATGCTGTGTAAACTGGTCTGCGAGGTTTTCCTCGCTCTTCAAAATAGGTTTCTAGCACTCACACGATGACGTCCTTCAGTTCTCAAAATGGGAAAGCGCAGGTTCCCACAATCCTCAGAACGCATATTTCTCGCCCCAGTTCAAAATGGCGGAGGAGGGTGGGGCCTGTCACATGGTGGGCGTCACAGCCGCTTTCCTTTTCCAAACCTCGGCCCGCCTTGCCGCGTCGTCGGCCGTCCCCCTCCTCCTCCCGCCGAGCTTTTTTCGAGGAATCGCCTGGGATTGGCTAACAGGCTGGGAGTGGGGCTGCGGGGCTGAGAGGAGGCATCATCACTTCCTGTTGTGGGCAGTGGTTTCCTGTCGCTGCTTGGTAACAATGGGGAAGGTAATGGCTGCCTGAGCAACGTCTCGGAGCAGGCGCTGGGCTAGAGGCGGGTCTCCACCAGCCACTCAGCAAGAGGCGGGTTTGCAAGAGGCGGCTTCGGCGGCGGCGGCCGACGAACCGAGTTGGAATCTGACCTCCCGAACCGAGTAAGTGCAGATTTGCAGCTCCTCCGGTAAATGGATGGAGAGAGAGGAGGAGGAGGAGGAGGAGGAGGAGGACTGGAGTCGCGGCTGCCGCGTTCTCCCAAAATGGCCCGAGTGACGCGTCGCGGCGGAGCCTCAGCGCCGCCTCCGGACCCCAGGCCCGCTGCTGTGTGGGGGGCTCCGTGGCGTAGTCGCCGCTGCCATTTTAGTAGGATGGTAGTCGAGCGGCTCTTTGAAGAAGGGGAAGGAGGTGGGAGTATACTTCCTCTTCGTAGCCGCGCGAGCCGCAGTCGGGGCCCTTCGGAGCCCTAAGATTCGGGACAGGCGGTTCTCGAGTTCTGGCCTCGGGCTTGAGAATCTTAAAAGCGTCTCAGCTTTTGCTCTGCTGTGTTCTCGGAATGCTTCTCCTCCTGCTGGGCCGCGCATTACAGGGCGGCTTTGGTTTGGGGGGAGGCAGGAGGACAAGAGCAGGCTGCTCCCAGTCAGGTATGCCGAGAACTCGTGGGCCTGTAGCTCTCCCCGGATTTATTTGCAAGAGCCCATTTTGGAGTTCTTGCAGGGCAGTGCCAATTAGGCGCTCTCTGGGGCCGCGATGACATCTTCCCTGAGCTTCGAGGCAAATGTGATTTACTCCCTTGCTCTTATAACCCTGGCGTATCCTTGGCCAGACAGCACGAGAAGGATTCCCTCTCCACCCCCCCCTCCCCCGTTTCCAAAAGGGAGAGAAAAGCCGTGGCGTGTTTGTTGTTTTTCCCTGGGTGAGAGCAGAAACTAGGCCAAATTATTTTCAAGTTAATTTCCGCGCAATTTGCCCACAGCTCAACCTCCTGCCCCCACCCCCAGTTTAAAAAAAAAATGCCTGAGGGTCTCGGCTTCTGCGGGCGGTACCTGCCACGTACGCCATAGCTTAGTAACTAGTATTAACCGGTTGGGCTTCTGCTTCCTGAACACCGAGTCCCTTTTTCCCTTATGCTGATTAATTTCAAGATGGAGGAGACAGCCACGTTCCTTCCCTAGACAATTTCACCATACTTATTCCACAGGTTAGTCCGGGCATCTGAGGCCTAGCTGACTTGGTATTTAGGTCATTTTTTTTTTGTTTGTTTGTTTGGGGGCAAGAGGAGACATTAATGTGACATTGTCACCTACCATTTACAAGGCCCCAAAGTAATTTTTTGCTTCAAATCAGAAGCCTGCATTGTTTTTATTAGAACTGCAGTACATTTTGATGATTGAAGAGGGAGAGAAATCATGAAGGTACTACTTGTTCTCATTTCTTAGGAGTTTCCTTGACAACAGACGAAAGTACTCGAGTTACCCCTATCCGATACATTGTCTGTCCTGGAATGAGGACGTTGAGAACAGCCAAAAATGATTATAACTCCCCCACCTCCTCCTTCATCCACCCACTGGCAGTTAGAGATTAAGTATGCAGAAAGGCCAAGCCAAATGTGATTTTAGAGCACTGCCCTCTCACTGAAAAATGTTAGCAGTGTTTAGCCGAACAGGTCCTGATGCTTTTTAATACTTCTTATTCCCTGCTTGGGTTAATGTAATGTACCAAATATCTCCTTGAAAGTGATTATAAGAATCTGAAAGTAGATACTGGTTTGATAAGAGCAGGTCCGTTTTAAGTAAGTTTATTTAAGAGGTAGAATTGCTCTCAGGCCCAAGTATCTTCATAATCATGAATTAGATTTGGGTTATGGTGTGCAATTGACATACATAGGATGTGTATTTTTAAAGGATGTGTCTGTGTCAAAAAAATGTGTATCTTATAAAAGAGGAAGAATAATGAATTCTTTTTTTTTCTAGAGCAGAGTGTGAAGAAAACTAAAATCCAGTTTATTGTATTTCAATACTATGTCATAACAGTCAGGTAATTTATTTTTTGTTGCGTCTCCTGATAATTTATATGTAGAATGCATGTTTACAAATATTTATTGTTCTGTTTTGCAGGCCTTGTGATTGGATGGGCTCATTGATATATGTTAATTGGTGTTGGGCATTCTTCATGATGAGGATGGGTACTTTTCACTGGGAATTCAAAGGGTAATGTTTCCAAGTACCTGGAACCCACCAGTGCTTTATCTGTGAATTTTACTCTTCTAAAATAATGTTTGAGGTTTACAAAAACTTTTAGAACAGAAAGAATTTAAAAAGGCAGTAATGGCCATAAATTGTTGGAATGACATGGATGTAAGTGAAATAGAATGCTCATTGAGTAAGTGAAATATCAGTAGAAAAGTCCTAATATGTAATAATACAATTGGCATTAACACCTTACCTTAGCATCATTACTAAAATAGCCACGTAATTTATTAGGCTAACAACAGAAGGGACCTTGGTAATTATTCCTGGACAGTCCCAGGCAAACTGGGATGGATTATTGGCCTGAACTAATACTAAATGCTGTTGAGGGCTTACTTGCTAGGCCTGGTGCTGTATGTGCAATATTTCTTGATCTTCACAGCATAGCCTTATGAGGGTCTAGGGGTTTTATAGAGGAAACTGAGGCTCAGTAAAGAGCCAAAGTACTGTATCCTCAGTTAAATAGCTGGTAAATGGCAAAGCCCTCATTTTGTCTCAGGTCTGACACTGAAGTTGCTAGTAAATTAGGATGGAAGTGCAGTGGGAATGAAAAGTTATATGCAAAATCTGTAGTTCATAATGCACCAGAAACTTTTGTTAATACTCAGGAGGTGGTTTGCCTCAGGAAAATAAGACTTACCTGACAGTTGGCCTTCTTTTTTGGCTGTTAGCTGTTCCTGTTTCAGCTGTGAGGGCCCTTGATAGGATTTGAGAAACTTAAATTTGAAATCAGACATTGTTTGAAGAAATTGCTTTATAATAAAATGGTATCTAGAAACGTTAGGTTGGTGACCATCTTTCAGGTTAATGAACATGTGGTTAAGCCCTAGAAAATAGAGAAGGTCAAATGGAGTGTCTGATTTATGGAATTATTTTATGTGTGCATTACTTTATCTTTAGCCCTGGTAGATAGACGTCATGCTTCCTGGATTTACTGTAGAATGAATGCAGAGCAGACTAGAAAGTGAAGTCCTCTATTACACCCATACCATTGAGATTCTAGAATCTCGGAGTATGGTGCAAGATAGGGACAATCTTTGTTCATGTTCAGTTTTTTTTAACATTTATTTTTAATTTTTATTGGAAAGTCAGATATGCAGAGAGGAAGATCATTCATCCATTGATTCACTCCCCAAGCGGCCGCAACAGCTGGAGGTGCCCTGATCTGAAGCCAGGAGCCTGGAGCCTCTTCTGGGTCTCCCCACACAGGTGCAGGGTTCCAAGGCTTTGGGCCATCCTTGACTGCTTTCCCAGGCCACAAGCAGAGAGCTGGATGCGAAGCAGAGCTGCTGGGATTAGAACCAGTGCCCGTTTGGGATCCCAGCCCAAGCAAGATAAGGACTTTAGCTGCTAGGCTGCTGTGCCAGGCCCTCAGTTCAGTTCTTTAACATTTTTATGTAACAGAGATTTCCAAAACCATGCAATCCACCGATTTTGAAAAAGATCCAGTTTATGTGAAATTGAGAAAATCTGATTAGCACTGTAAGGCATTGTAGTACCTCTATGTTCATTTCTTTCTTTCATTTTTTAAAAGATTTATTTATTTGGAAGTTTAGAGAGAGACTGGAGATTTTCCATCTGCTGGTTCACTCCCCAAAGGACTGCAAAAGCCAGGGCGTAGGTGGCAGCTTAACTTGCAATATCATAAACCTGTTCCACTTTCATGGTTTTTTAGAATGCATTTATGAATTTTGACTTTTCCACCTAAAATATACAGTAGACACTTTTGCTCTAATTTATTCTTTATTTCAGTCTCCAAACTAAGTTTTAAATTTCTGTAGTCATAAGAGCACCTATGTGAGTGTGAGAACAGTATCTATTCTAGTACATGGCTTGTGAGTCTAGATTTATGTGAATCTCTTGGAGAAATTTCCCCGAGTATGTTTGGCTGCTGTTAATAATATTTGATGGTATAGTGGTGTTTACATAGTAGTGAACATGATACCTATGGGGTAAGGGGAGGAGATATTTGTGCTTAATATTTTAAATTGTGCCTAAAGCGAACAGATCTTACTCCTTCTCATCGTTCCTTGACTGTAAGAAAAAAAAAAGTTAACTACAATTAAGGGCTTATTTATTTGAAAGCAGAGTTAAGATGGAGAAACAGATCTGCTTGGATGTCAGGGGCCCAAGCACTTGGGCCATCCGCTGCTTCTTTCCCCCAAATATTATGGGAACTGGATTGGAAGTGTAGCATCTAGATGAACTGGAACCAGCACTCAAATGGAATGCAGACAATAGCTTTTAACCACCCGCTGTGTCACAGTGCTGGCCTCAGTTTCCATCTTTGACCAAATTCTATTTGGTGTCAGTTATAACCCGTATGACTGTATAAATTACTCCAGGTGAGGATGCTTTTGAGCGGCAAAGGGAACCATGTTAGTACCTGTTGTAGCAAAATTGAAGTATAAGTCATTACTGTCCTAAACAAAGCAGGGATACATCACCTCTGTTGTCTCATTTCCCTATAGGAGCACTGCTTGGGCAAGGACAGTTGGTTGGTATATTTGGTTTTAAATGCAGTAGTTTTCCTCAAATATAACAGTGATCGGTATAGGACAATCCTGGCCCAGTGATTTTAATTTTAAAAATTTGCTTCATTCTTTTTTAAAAGGTCGAGTTTTATGGCAAGAAACTTTGGAGTATTTTTAAGGTATTTATTTGAAAGGCAGAGTGGCATAGAACTTCATTTCACTCACGGCTTCACTCTCTAAATGGTGCTTAGCCTCCTGTGTGGGTGCAGGGGCCCAGCCACTTGGGCCATCCTGTGTTGCTTTCCCAGGCACATTAGCAGGGAGCTGGACACAAAGTGGAACAGCTGGGACTTAAATGAGCACTAATGGGATGCCTGTGTCACAGGTGGTAGTTTAACTCACTGTTCCCACAGAACAAACTCCAGAAAGTTAGATTCTTAAAATAGCACTTTTGTTACTCATGAACACCAGCATGGCCTGAAACTGGTGATTTTTCATTAATAACTTCTTAAAATGAACTTGGATTTTTTTAAGCTTTTTAATTCTTGGGAATAATGAGAGAGAAAGAAGTCAAAATTCTTTTTATGGATGAAATCAAATTACAATTTAGTGACACAGCTCAATAATAAAAGAACAAGAAATGGGTAGTTGAAGATTGAATTAACTATTTAAATTAGAGTACTTGAGTGAGATAAAATGTTATAATGGCTTCCTGTTTGAACTTATATGATCCTGTCAATTGATAGCATTTGGTATGGGCTTGGTCCTTTGAGTTACTGAACTTCTTAAGATTCTTTTGATTTAACGTTTTAGAGGTTTCTAGTATAATCAGAATTGCTGCCAAGAGTTTAGAGGCATGGGGCATTCTGAGCCTTTTGAATTTGTTTCTGCTGCCCTTTACAAGCAGCAAAGATTGACTGTCAATGAGTCTAAGCTAACACTGCCATTCAGATAATATTTTATAATTTGTCACTGCTTTAGTATCACCCGTATATTGGATTACTTCAGAATCATATTCTTAGAACTGGAAGGCATCTTGTAGATGGTTTCATCCAGCTCTCTAATATTGATGGAGATCCTTAAGTAACACCTTCTAAATTGACTTCTGTGATGTAGTGTGTATCAAATATAACATGTATGTGTCTTTATACTTAGCACCAGGCCTCCTGACACATTAGTGCTCAACAATATTCTAAATGACTTTTTGCTTTCATAACGTTAATTTTTTTCAAGATTCATGTTATTGGAGCAAGATAATTAAATGAGGTACATTTGTAGTTAAATGTTTATATGATTTACATCAATACAGGATGAAGGCTAGGAGAAATTGAGATTGTTGACTGCTTTAAAATTCGTCATAGTAAACATGAGGGGACCTCGAAAAGCTCATGTGCATTATGAAAATTTACATGATTTCCAAGAAAAATTTTTGCAACAAAATAAATTTAGCCTTTAATTGCATTTTCTCATGAACTTTTGGATGTGCTTTCTTGAAATTACCTAATTATTGAATGATCTCAGAGTTGGTTTTAACTTTTCTTCATGCAAATTAATTGTAGCATTTATCAAGCAAATAGTTTTTGACTAGGCTAAAGTTCTAATTTGGCTGCTTGTTTTCAAGAATGAATTTGGATGTATTTTCATTTAATACTCTATTTCAAACAAGTGTACTAAAACTTGTACAGTAAGTTGACTTCAGCTACTGAATTCATGCTGGTTATGAAAGCTGTTAGGTCATTTCCAAAATTTGCATGCAAGGAATGACTGTGGTAAAGAAAGTTCATAGTGAGAGTGAATGAATATATAGTCCTTGGAATGCATGTTGTCATTTGGTGAAAAGATGGGAATCAGAATGTGGATTAATCACTGCCTTTCCCACTTACTAGCCTCCTGATGTTTTGTAAATCACAACCTGTCATGCTTCTGTTTTTTACCTATGAAGTGGAAGTAATTCCTACTTCATGGGATTAAATGTAAAAGGCTGTGTAAATATTAACATAGATATTACTACAACTAGGAAGAGAATGAAGTGGTTTTATTACTTCCATCTGCTGGTTTTTTCCTCAAAGTGGACACAATGGCCGGGGTTGGACTAGGTGAAAGGCAGGAATCAGTACTCAATCCAGATCTCTCACATAAGTGATGTAAGTAACAGGGGCCCAAGAACTTGAGTCATCTTCTGCTTTTTTCCCAGGCATATGAGCTGAGAGCTGGATTAGAAGCAGAGCAGCCAGGACTGGTCTTTCATCCACTGGTTCACTCCCCAAGTGGCCCTAATGCCTGGAGCTGAGCTGATCTGAAGCCAGGAGCTTCT